CCGAATAAAAAGGATATCACATCTCACCTCAATGCAGCTCTATGACCCAATGTAAACATTAGTCTAGCAAACCACACAGTGTTTTTTCGTGCTTTTTCCCCAAAGGCGGACCCCAACAGCGTCTCAGGCAGCCTCATTACGTCACGACTTGGATGCATTCTTTATCCAACGCCGATAATAATGCGTTTGCTTTAGGGCTATATCGGAGACGTTTCAATCGTTAAGAACTTAAACAAACAAACGCGTAAGCAATACAAACAGTTAAATAGAGGGACACTACAAAAATAATATAAAACAACAAAAACAGTTAGATAAAGGGACGCTGCAACAATAATATAAAATAACAAAAATAGTTATTGAATAAAGGGGCGCTACAATAATGCAAAACGAAAAAATAGTTGAATAAAGGAATGCTACAAGAAAAACAACCTCAATACAAAACGAAAAAATAGTTAAATAAAGGCACCCTCTCTGATAAAGGGACTCAAAAAATAAAGTTACAAAACTACAGAAACAGTTGAATAAAGGGACGCTACTCAAAAATAAAATAAAATAAATTATACAAAACGAAAAAATTAGATAAATAAAGGGACGCTACTCAAAATTAAAATAAAATAAATTATACAAAACGAAAAATTAGATAAATAAAGGGACGCTACAAAAAAACATAAATTATACAAAACGCTACCAAAAAAAAAACAGTTAACAACACAAAACGAAAGAAAACGTTAAATAAAGGAACGCTACAAAAATAAAAATACAAAACGAAAAAACCCACATGTAGTTAAATAAAGGGACGCTACCCCAAAAAAAATACATGAAAACGAAACAAAAGTTAAATAAAGGGACGCTACCCTCAAAACAAATTACAAATACAAAACGAAAAAAAAAAGTTAAATAAAGGGACGCTACAAAGAAAAAATTTAAAACGAAATAAAGATAGCTAAAAATAAAGGGACGCTACCAAAAAAAAATGCAAAACGGAAAAAAAGTTAAATAAAGGGACGCTACAAAAAAAATAATGATAAAAAACGACAAAATAGTTAAATAAAAGAACTCTCCAATATTATAATTACAAAAAGACAAAAATGGTTCAATAAAAGGTTGCTACAATACTATACTACAA